GGAAAAAAAAAAAAAAAAAAAAAAAATTCTTCTTGCTTGTTTGGTTCAAACGACAAACTCTACAACCTCTTGACTATCAAAAAACTTACTATGGATGACAAACACCTGCATTCAGTTGACAGTTTGGAATTGGCCCTCTAAACTGACAATCCAAAAAAGTTAAGTCCCTGATCACATATGCATGGGAGACACTGTACTTAGGGTAATGGGACAGATAACAAGGGTCAAAAAAATGTCAGTCTCTAGACCTGAGTCTTGAAACCCCTAGACCACTTGTTTAAATAGGCATAGTACTCCTGAAGACCAGAGTATAAAAGACTTCAAGCAGGTGCTTTCATGATTTAGTATGATAATATATAAGCTGATAAGTACCTACAAATAATGTGAATGTTGTAACTATGTCTTTTCTCAGCTGCACTAAGTTTGAGATGATTCAAACCTTTTGTGGTAATTGAAATTTTTAGATGGCAGTTTCGTTTTAGACTCTCTCTTCCTTCCTGCAGCTTTGTGGTTCCATAATGTAATTTCTGAGGAGTTTGGTGTGGGTGTGAATATCTTCTGGAAGCACCTTCCTACCCAGTGCTATGATAAAACAGACACTTATGGAAATAAAGATCCTACAGCAGCCACCAGGGCAGTACAGATCTTGGACAGAGCTTTGAAAACACTGGAGGAACTACCTGAAGAATATAGAGATTTTTATGCTCGCAGAATGGTTTTACGTATCCAAGAAAAAGCCTACAGCACTAACTATGAATAAATTGCATAATGCAAGTCAACTGAAATGCTCCAGGAACAGAGAAGGATGTATATGGACACTGCACATGCAGATACTTTGTTATAAGACTTCCACAAAAGCCTGTTAATAAACATATAACTTTGTAGCTAAATACTTATTTCCTAGCTTATGGTTATTATTTTAATAGAGCCTCTCTCTGTCATATACTATAATTTGCATGATACAGCTGTAGTTCATTTATAAAACAAGGTGCTGGTGTTAAAAAAAAAATATATATATGCCCCCAAGTTTTTGTTGTTTAGAACAGATTTTTGGGGGAATAGTTTACTTTTAGGTAACTAACTGCATAATAACAGTACTCCAGTAAGAAGTAGGCTACTGGCAATTGGCATTCTGTTTTGGACCCTGCCTTCTTATCCTGGCTGAAAGGGTTACTACCCTAGAGCAGTATTGCTGCCCACTGGGGACTCATACAGTTATAGAAAAAGACAAGCAGCCAGTCAAGTTAATATGGCTGAAAATGTCATTGGCGCTAGTCATGGGAGAGTGGAAAGCAGCTGTATTGTTAGGGCTTGCTTAGTAGCTCTCCTTAGCAGAGAAAAGGTTCTATGTAGGCTGTACAGAGATGAGTTTTCATTTTGGTTTTTTCCCATTTGTTTTTAGCTTAAGATATAAATTAGAGTGGCATCTGTACTGTATGGTGCAGTTTTCTTAATTTCCTTGATCTGCAGTCAGACTAAACGAACATGTGCCAAGGAGAGTGGATTTGTTAAATCTCAAATAGATGCAAATACTTAGGCTTCCTACTCTGCTCAAGCCCAGGGGATATCTGTATCACAGCTGATAGTTGGAAGTTCTGCAAGGTCTCTCTCTAGCTAAATTATGCAATTTAGATTTTTTTTAAAAAGTCAAAATGAAGATTTGATTGCTTTTCTGTGGCCACCTAAGCACTTTTCCCCTTAATTAGCTTTCCACTATGGAAAACTATGAGGAACTGTTGTTTCTCTTAATCAGTATTTAAAACTCTTGTGGTCTGGGGTCATGTTGTAGCTCCATCTAAAGTATCTGAAAGTAATTTTGCTTTAAGGAGTCATGACAAATCAGTTTTGCTAACAATGTCTGTCCCTTTAGCCACCATTTTTTTTCTACTGCTTAATCTCGGATACTTCAATCTCAGTGTATTTTTCTGTCATTTATATACTTTTGTCCCTCCTAAATTAATTCAGGATGGTGCCTTGTCATGCAGGGCTTGTCAAGACAGTGACTGTGAGCAGGGCTAAATAGAAATGAAGCATTAATAAGGCACAGAAAAGGGACTTCCTGTGGAAGAGCTAGAGTTTGCAGTACCATGCAGATTATTCCTCTAAATCTGCATTTTGTTGGCAGTTGTAATTTAGAGAAAATAGCCTCCAACCGTGCGACTGGGCACGAGGCCATCTTAATGAATAGATATAAATGTAACCAGCCAAGCAGTCTTGATGTGAATCAGTTTTGCATACTGAAGGCAGTATTTAAATCTGGGAACAAACACTTTTGTCTAAATTCACTCTTCTGTTGTTATAAACCTGCTTAGTGGGGAGGAGATGGGGAAGGAGATTAAGGCAAGATTTACATACTGAGGAACTGAGGTAAGAAAGGCCATGTGGAATCTGGCACTATCAAAGATCCTTGAAAGGAGTGTACAGAGCGTACTGGAGGCCTCTCTATGAACTGGAGAAATGGAAAGGTTAGCATCGGTCCACAACATTTCCTTCTGATCCAGCACTTACCTATTTTCCCCCTTTATAATTCTAGTTTCACCTGCTCACAGCCACTCATCAAGCAACTTGTAGTTATTTACTCAGTAGAAGATAGTGGCATGAGAGAAAGAGGAAACAGTAACTGCACTGTTGCTTCTTTCTCTTATTCTACCATTTTCAATTAACCAGCTATGCCCTTAGAACAGGGGTGGGCAGTTATTTTGGCTGGAGGGCCACTTAATGAGCTTTGGTAAGCTGTCAAGGGCCACAAGGGTAGTCCTGCCCCTTGGCAGGTAACCTGCCCCCTGGCTGCCATCTTGGAACTGGAAGTCCTGCGCTCCCACCAGAAGTCCCTCCCCTTCACCCAGAAGTACTCCTTCTGAGGCAGGGGAAGGGTGCCATCTTTAAGCTGGGAAAAAAAATCCATATATTAAATCATATGGTGGGGTGCAGGGTGTGTATGTAGGTGAATGTGAGAGGGAGTGTGGATCTGTAGGGGCTATATGGTACATTGGGGGTGTGGGGGTGTGTAGGGTTGGTGGGGTGTGAGGGAGGGGGTGTGTGGGGACTCCCCCCACCTCCCCATGGTGCACAGTCCCTGCTGCTGCTGCCAGCAGCAGCAGGCTCTGGGGGTGCTCATGGCCTACATAGGTGCAGCTACTTGGGGCAGGCATGTGAGGGGGGGTCCCCACGCTCCCCACTGCCCCTCACACCCACCCACCCACACCCTGCCCACACTCCCATTGCTGCAGCAGGGCCATGAGGAGCCACTGGAGGCCAGGGAAGCTGAGCAGGTCCCCTGGCACCTGCAGCTGTGGCAGCAGCAGCCCCACTCAGAAGCTGTGTGTGCTGCCTGGGTCTGAGGCCTTTCTGCACTGGAGGGTGGGGGCAAAGCATGGGGACTGGGTGGGGTTCAGTTAATTGGTGGGTGCCCACGGGCTAGTTGAAATAGCCTGGTGGGCCAGATGTGACCCGTGGACTGTATTTTGCCAACCGCTGCCTTTGAAGGACTTCCTGACTTGATGTTACCTTAGGGTACAAGTCACCATGAGGTTGCTGAGGTCCCTACATGCTACCATAACAGAATAATAAGCAATCCTTCTGCTTAAAGGGAATTTATAAAACACCTTCAGAAGACAGGCCTAGGAACAGAAATCTTAACTCTAGTGGACAGTAAAATAACCTGGCTGTAACAGAGATAGCGGCTTTATGGCTTGTTACAATATTACAAACACTACCAATCATTTCCCTGCACTTGACAAGTAATAACAACCTTCTTTCCAAATGGCCTTACTCAGTCACTAATTTGATTACCTATTTTACTTCTCTCCTTTTGTTTTGTGACAGCTGCTATTTATGGCTCTTCATTCCTAGTTTACAGCCCTCCTCCATCCCTCCAAACACTGTTTGCATTTGCACAGAACCTGTTCTTTGATATTTAGCTCAGCCTGTGTCTCCTTCCCCTTTAGACCCGAGGAAGGGCAGCCAATGCAGGAACGCTTGTTCAGCAGTTCTCCTAACTGTATAGTTGGTCCAGTAAAAGGTATAACAAAGAAGACTTGCCTTTCTACATTTCCTGGACCAGTGCACCTACAAACAATACTGTGACCTTACTCCCATAATAGAAGTTGTGGAGGAAGAGGACTACATTGAACAGCAGTCAAGCTGTGACTTATCTGTTTGGGGAAGGGACCATTTTTCCCCAAGGAGCAGAAGTAGAGATCATTTGGGGTTTCCTCTGGGGATGAGCAGTTGGAGAAAAGATGGGTTATTCAGTTATCACCTTCTCTCCTTAACATCTATTGGAGGTATTCAGATTCTC